AATAAACTAATCAATGTTTTTGTTCCAACTTATTGTTAGTTATTGTAGAATGGTTGACATAACTCATAAGTCGTGCTATGGGTCAATGATGATCCCATTCTTAATTTATTCTGTAATTTCTCCACAATAGTATGATAATGTGCATAATGAGGGATACAGCCATCTAATTGCTGGGAAGAAATGTTTTTTTTCTTTATTGAATATAGTTATGTTTGGATGAAAAGGGTTTTGGCATAAATGTATAAGTCGGACTTTGATTAACTTCGAAAATATTCATCACCATCGCTCCAAAACTCTATTAACATGAGAAGTCATCATACTCCATCATCACCAATCTTTTGTTAAAGATTAGTAAGCTCCTTTTGTAGTCACTATTTCGTTCATAGACTACCATATGTGTGCTTGTCGATGGACAATAAGGGTAGTACAATGACCATATAATTGGTTTACTGGATGTTTTATAAGTATGAGGCTACTCTCCAGACTGAGGGGTTTTCCTTTTACCTTTGCTTTTCGCTGTCTTTTTTGTCAATTAATTTGACAAATTGCTTTGCATTTTGAGGTATATGATCACATTTCACCCTGAAGGTTGTTATGTGGAATATGGATGTTAGGTACGGTGCAAATGGCAAATAAGTAGATTTGTATTTTATAAGCCAATATACTTTCTCTAGCTCCCATTGCTATCTCAATGTGAAGGAATAAGCCAGAATGAACTGCATCAGTGAAATGAAGGGATTTATTCACTTTTTTTTTATAAGAGGGGTTTTCTCACATTATAGTTTGTATTTAATTACTTTAATCTTTTGTGAATATTATTTTTCCTGAATGCATGGGTTTACCATGTTTACTGCAGCATAGAGTTTGATCGCGACGATGATTTATTTGCTACAGCTGGAGTTTCTCGGTGCATTAAAGTTTTTGAATTTTCCGCGGTAAGATAGATGGCCTTTTACTTCTATTGTTTTGTATTTTCTGCTCTTTTGATTGGCAAGTGGTAGCATTTGTATTGCTATAGCATTTTTATAATATTTGATTTACTACCATCCCTTGGAATAATTTCATTTACAGCATTTCTGGTTAAATTTGTTTATATTTTAACTAAGTGCACCTATATAACGAAGGTGAGCAATCTGTAGCAACAGATATATTACAGTGCTCAAGGTTTTGTAATACCTCAAACTCCTAATGCGGTAAAGTTGGTAGAGGATTTGCTATTAAAATCAGTGTCTTCTGGTTTATTCTTGTTTTGTTTCCCAAACCAATAGATTAAGAATACAAAAATAACTATTCCCAGTGTAATTGCTTTACAGGTTATGAATGAACCTGCAGATGCTCATTGTCCTGTTGTGGAGATGTCTACTCGTTCAAAACTTAGTTGCTTGAGTTGGAATAAATTTGCTAAGAACCAAATAGCTAGTAGTGATTATGAAGGAATTGTGACTGTTTGGGATGTAAACACTCGAAAGGTAGTTATTAAATTCAAATAGTCAGTTTGTTATAGTACCAGCTGCTGGGGCTTCTTAGTTAACTAATATTTTTTTTATTGTTATGTGCTTGCTAAAAAAGTTTCAGTTTGTTTGGTAGTAAAATGTTTCAGTGTTTCTTATTCATGAATATCATTTTCCTTTGGCAGAGTTTAATGGAATATGAAGAGCATGAAAAACGTGCATGGAGTGTTGATTTTTCAAAAACAGATCCCTCCATGCTTGTATCTGGTAGTGATGACTGTAAGGTACCTGAGTCTTAAACATCTATTTGAAAAGATTTTGTATTAATTTCCCTGGAATGCCTGCATTACATATGCTTCTAAATTTCCCTGGAAGTCTTAAACATCTATTCAGTTATCTATCTGAGAGTTTGCAAAAAAGCAATTTGTACTTTACTTGGTAAATTCAAATTTACTTGGGACTTAGAGAATGAAAATTTGATAATATCTAGGCTATTATGCATTTTATGATATTTTAATTTAAGAAATTTAGGGGATAACAGGATGAAATATATTCCTTTATTAATTCAATGTGTTTAGCAAGATAATGTGGCATTTCCTTCCACTTGAAATAGCACAACGCATAAGTGATCAAATGGTGAAATTATGTCAACGTTGTTTTGATCGCTCAATTATATGATTGAGAATAATTGAACTAACTGTAAACTGACTTTTCTTTGAGCAGGTCAAAATTTGGTGCACAAATCAGGAGAACAGTGTCTTAAATATAGACATGAAAGCAAACATATGTTGTGTCAAGTATAATCCTGGATCAGGAAATTATATTGCAGTAAGTACATTTCATCAAGTTAGAACAGAATCTATTGATTTAGTGCACTGTTAGATTTGATGGCATCCTTGTATTATCTTGTAATTTATCATTCAGCTGCTTAATCATGACTTCACTTGGCTTTTCAAAGCAATAGGCTTTTATATTACATTATTATAATATTCACTTCTTTTCTCTTACCATGGAAAGATGCGCTGTCACTCTTTGGTAATAGGTTGTGTTAATTGTGCTTAAGATAATTGGTCATAGATATCTTCTTGTTGTCTATGCTGCTCATAATTTATTCTGGATAGTGAAATTCAGGATTTCACTCTCAAGTAAAATAATTGCCTGCAACTGTCAAATTTACATTGATACACATGATCCCTCTCCTTTTCTGTAATAGTGACGAGTCTTCTTATATTATTTATCCTTTAGGATTGAAATATATCTTGTACCACCATGTCTTTTTACAGGTTGGATCAGCAGACCATCACATCCATTATTATGATTTGAGAAATATTAGTCAGCCAGTCCATGTTTTCAGTGGGCACAGAAAGGCTGTTTCATACGTGAAATTTTTGTCTGATGATGAACTTGTATCTGCATCAACAGATGGTACATTGCGGTTATGGGATGTGAAGGAAAACTTACCAGTGAGTGATCTTAGCTAAAATGGTTTCTTGATTTAGTTTATCCTCCATTCTGCATTTAATTTTTGGATTTCTGTTGGCTCTTGTTGCTTTATCTGTCTATAATTTGTTATGGGTATCACTTGCTTTATTCAATTTTTTTGGCTGAAAGGTCAAAAATGATTTTCCAAACATTTAAAATGGACAACAAAATTGGTTTACCTCCTCATTACCCTCCTAGTGTGAGCTGGTTATTACTTGACATATTTTTCACATCAGGTTTTCCTCCCGTTAATCTTGTGAGGGATTTGTTGATTGTCTATGTAATAAACTCTGACATGGGACCTCCAATTTGTTGATGAACGTGGTCTATTGAAGTTCACAAATGAATTCTTATTATTTGCCCTTGTTTACTTAACGTACTTCTACTTCATGGTGTGGAGTACCATGATATGGAAAAGTTTCATGGTTACTCCACAAATTTGATTTGTTGAGACTTGAGAGTCTTGTCTCAGAAGTTTTCCAGACATGTATAGTTTTTAATGGTCAATCCTTACACATTCAGTTATATGGGCCTTGGGGATATTAATTTTGGTTGTCAATTGCAACAATTCTGTTTAACTGCATGAACCTGTTGAAAAATTAATAATGTAAATTTGAATGATGTATACAGGTTCGTACATTCAGAGGCCATGCAAATGAGAAAAACTTTGTTGGTCTTTCAGTAAACAGTGAATACATTGCATGTGGAAGTGAAACTAATGAAGTATTTGTTTACCACAAGGTTTGTGATGTTTAATTATATCAAATGTTCAATCCCCTAAGATTTGCTTTGTAAATGAAGAATCAATCACCCCTTTTGCAGGAAATATCAAAGCCTTTGACTTGGCATAGATTTGGTTCCCCTGAGGTGGATGATGCTGATGATGAAGCAGGATCTTATTTCATTAGTGCTGTATGCTGGAAGAGTGATAGCCCCACCATACTAACTGCAAATAGTCAAGGCACCATCAAAGTATTGGTACTTGCACCTTGAACACGTTAGAAGGAGTAACTAATACAACATATTTTCTCCTCATACCATTTGTTGTACCATTTCTTAATTGCACATATTATTAAAGTGTATATGATAGGTATTAGAGATTTTTAATTATATAGTCCTTTTTGTCATAATTTGTGTGCCAATTAACTTTGCTATATACAAAATGCTTAATAAAAACCGTTGAAAAGATTATCCAATGTGACATGATATTATGTATTAGTTAACTTTTTCTTTTCTTTTTCAATCGATAGGTATTACGAATATCTTGATATTATTGACGTGGGTGATGGGTCATTAGTTATCCAGAGTTTCTTTTCATATTTTTAAGTTTAGTTTTTATTTCCAGATTTTATTTTTTATTCCAGAGTTTTCAATTTTTGATGGGATTGGAAATATCGGTTTAGTCTTGAAAATGTCTCTTTGTAAGGTCTAACTTTATTACTCCATGTTTAACCAGTGAAATGTATATACTTCGAATTCAAAGGGATGGACAGATGTCAACTCATAAGATTAACTTCAACTAATTTTGTTTTTAAATGCTTCAAGGGGTTATTAACTAAGTCCTAGACACCACAGAAAATCTATTTTCTGGCTTCACCAAAATCAGCTTATTCTTAATTTAATAATATTTGCACACCAGTTTTGTTGGACCATCATATTTTTTTAGAGAAAAAAATGCATTGATAGTGTAAGAGTTTTTTACATTATCAGTACATCATCTATGATTCATATTTAATCATCATTTGCTTTTAAATAAAAGTTATACATACGATACACTGTATTCTTAACTGTTTTTTCAGAGCTAAAAACTTGTATTTAAAAGGATGAGAAATATGGTCGGGGTCCAAACAAGTTAATTATCAATTAAGCACATAAGTGAAGTTCATAATCAACTTTATTTTCTTATTATTCCAATACATAGTAGATACACGATTATGTTTCCTCGAAAGTACAAAATCTGTAAGGCTCCTACAAGAAACATATTCATAAGGCATAAACCATTGCTTACAGTAGCTTCAAGTTTGAAGCACCAAATACATTTCTTATACAAATAATGACACATTACGTTTAAAAATTATAAATAAACTATGAAGCTCAAAAGAAGGAATACAACATGATATTTATTCTCTTAAGAACTTTAAGAACATCATTACATGTTAATATGTTATATTTCTTTAAACATGTTACAAGTTATTTTGACCTTGATTATTATAGGCTTGGACTTGCAAGGTCAAGAAAACTTGAAGGATATTGATAAAGTTAAAAAAGATAAAATAAGAAGGTAAGAAGAATAAGCTCAGGAGAGATATCGCCATAACATTTACCACACTTCCATTTGTTCTGCAATCTTGTAGCCCTCACCTTGAAGTGCCATGACAAAGAGCACAAAGGTCATTTTTAGCAGCAAACTTGACATGATGATGAAAATCCAAAGTCCAAACACTAACTGAGGAGCTGTGTAGGGAGGGTTTCATATTTCAGCTTCAGTTTGAATAGTGCCATGGAGTGTGTAGGAGAGAGTGCAGCTATATATATATATATTATGAAAACTTGCAGGGACCATACATAAGAAATGAAAAAAATGTAAATGTAATAAACTAAGAGACATGAATCAGTGGCAGTGAATAGAAATGATGATTACCTGCATGCATGTACATTAGGGGTTGATGTGTCCCTTTCTAGGTAGGATGAGACAGAAAAGATAATGAGAGTTTGTTTTTCTTGGGATTCAAAAAATGAACTCACTATCCTCTAACCTCTTAAATTATGATGTTAGGTTCATTGGTCTCTTGTTCACATTCTTGCTACCCAAACAGAAAAGGATTTGGTTTCATTTTGAACCGTGAACTTGTTTGTTTGGTTTCGATTAATTATGTACTTGGAATATCAGGTTCAATGCTTTGTCCCTTAGCTAGAAATTTGGCCATTTCATTAAAAATGAAAAGGTTGTCATAATTCATTGCAAGTCCTAGGGCAGGAAAGTCACATGTTATATAGTTATTCTGTTTATTAATTTCCTTCTTCCCAACCACTGTGATTGACATAGAAAGAACATAAACAAAACCCTATGAAGTTAGCTACAAAGGGATCAACCCCACTAATCCTACTTTACTGAACGATGCTTTTATCCCATTCCATGCAACTTTCAAAAGAGTAAAACCCAAAGCCCTAATTCTCATGTCTTATGTGATAACTCTACATAGCATTGTCCAAGTCTACATTGTAGGGCTGGTAAATATTGTTTGGCATAGCTTTATGAGTTATGACTGAAACACTGAACAATATTGGAATTGGGAGTTTATGAATTTTCTTTTTGATTATATGTCATTTTTCTATTAAACTTGGACACAATGAGACATAAAATATGAGTCATGTGATATCTGTTCCGGTGAAAGTAATTAATGCCTTAATTGATGATAGCTATAAACTCACAGACTTTTACTCTCTGACTCCAAGTGAAAAGGATCACATGTCCCAAAAAGTTCATGTCCTCATGTCTCAAGTCAAATCACGTTGCAACAAGTAATGTAAGTTTAATTACGTGTCAATTTTTTAGTGGATTGAGACACCATTTTTGGGACGAGTGATCTCCATTTCTCCGGAGTCATGTGAAGTCATCATGAAATTTTAATGTCATGCTTTTACTACCTCAACACCAAACTTGCCTCGTACACTAGTATATTTCCCCTTTTAACCCTAATTCTAATTTCTTACGTTTCATATAATTGATAATTAAGATATGGATTCAGTGTTTCTATAGATAATATAAAAATAAACTTTTTGGCTTTTAGCTGACTTATTTGTTTGTCTAAATATGATGACATTTTAGTCTCATAACATTTTATGTCAAAATTAGTATAAAATAAAATACAATTGCGAATTTCAAATCAACTAACATTACAAGTAGAAAAGTATTTAAAAGCAACTTAAGAATAAGTGAATAACCATAATCCAAAATTTTGGGCCTTAAAACATGAATTCTTGTATGGACCTTCAAACTTTATTTACCTGCTTGACTGCTTCTATAACATTATTTATCAAAATTAATAAAATTAATTGATTACTTTAATAATAATAAAAACTTGAATTTTTTTAAAGATGAATGATATGTATGTAGTTTAGGTACATGTACGACATCCCTATTTCAAAGAATAATGAGCATGTATTTGTTTCACACAAAGTTTTAGATTATACGTCAACTATGAAGGATTTATAAATAAGTAAGAAAATGGACAGATGAGAAATATAGATATTCCTAGTGCCCAAAAATAATGAACTCTAAATATGAATGATTTCAACAATGAAGAAACTCACATGTTTCAAATTTCAACAATTAGTTAGTGTTTGACATGGAATGGAAGACATTTCCAACTTTATTATTATTATTATTATCCATGACACCTACCTTATCCTTAAATCATTTACGCTATCTGCCATAAATGCTTATACAAAACATATCAAACGCATGTTCTTGTGTATTAAGGTCAAACTGGTAGACCTTGTCTCTTATAATTTTGTAAAACTAAGCCTATTAGAAATAAGGAATATGTGACTAATGGTGCATACACTCGTTCTCATAAACATTGCAACAAACATAACAATAATTGAATAGTGCAACACCTTCTCTATTATTGAGTCATTTGGATAAGGACAAATACTTTGCATGCGCATTACATGCTCAATTCTACATGTTCTCTCTATTGGGTTCAGTAAAAAAAATGCAGCTCATAACTTCAAGGAAACATTTTTTTATTTTTTAACCTTCATTTTCCTGTTTAAAGAATAATTCCAATAAAGTTTTGGCCCAACATTTATGGCACTCTACTTTTGACAAAGGCAATGACTAATCACATAAGAAAATAATTGGTGCCTCATGTTTTGAAGCAAAAAATTATTTATCCAGTTCTTCTAGTTACATTCATATAACTAACTTATATTTGCATTGAACACTACTATTTTTTGTATGAGTTAGACTTCTCTCCGGTAATAGAGATAACAGTTACAGTTTTAAATGTAATTGTAAGGATGTAATAGTCATTTCAGTGTAAAGTAAAAGACATAAATATTAATTTTTGTGTGTATTTTAAGACTGCCTAATGGAGAGGAGTCTCATTCATTTTGTGTCATGTGTAAAAGTGATTAATTAATAATTGCACGACTTTTAAGTCGATAAACCTGAATTGTGATATGTGACAAAAATAAAATTCGAATAGTTCTATTTTAAACTTTTTTTTTAATAAATAATTCACATTATCCCTTATAATTCAGTACTAATGCTTGATGGCAAGTTTGACAAAAATAACTTACTTTAAAAAGTAATGATAGTTTGTTTAGAAAGAAAATTGGTCAAGAGTTCATCAAACATATAAAATTGTCCTCTTTAAAGAGCCTAAATAAACAAATGCACTTTGTGTATGCAATACCAAATGCACCTTCAATGCTTCTCAAATTGGACATTGGGGCTTTTGATAGGGACAAGGATCATCCGTTTCATTTCATGTCTCATTCTATGTACCAGTCAATCACAATGCTGCTACATGAATAAAATAAAAAAAAATAAAATAAAAAGTAAAAAAAGTAAAAAAGTTATTGGTCCGGGAATGAGACAGGTGATTTGTGTCCCTTTTGATAGCGTAGTAATTGTGACATGCACATTATTAATTTAATTGGATAATGCTTGAAAATGATTATGAAGTTTAAGTGGTATCATCCTAATAAGCAATGACTATGACTTTCACATTGACGTATATAATTGAAGGTACCATTACATCTATAGTTAATTCCGTAAAGTTAGTTCTCAACCGTTGCTTGAGCAAATAAGTTAGTGTTCTTAAGATACATCCTAAGAACTTCATTAAATAAAAAAATATATATTTCACTTTTCAAGAATAATAATTATATTAATTTTATAGAACTTTGCTTTTAATAGTTGCTTAATATATATTATGATGATGACGTATATAGGCTAGAAAAACCTTTCATAAGGAATGGGAATCTCGTTCTGGAAAAAGGTTGACTATAATTTTGGTTAATGATTTTGTGTGCACGCATAGAAAACCATACTTAGGATTCTGTAACTATATAATAATATTTGGACACGTTTATATAGGTGTAGTTACGTTCATAATTGGGGATGAAAATTATCCACTCATGTAGTTTTCACTTTGGTTGAACTACCAAATAGAGTAAGAATGGTACTTAATTAGTCTAAAGGTTTACCATTCATGATAATGATATACTCTTCTTTTTCATTATAAATTATAAAGAAAGGGAAAGGAAATCGTAAGTGAAAAGAAATTATTTTACATCTTTGTCATTCATTCTAAAAAAAATCTAAAAGTTTGAATTAGTGAGTAGAAGTAAATCATTATATTTTACTAAAATTAATGACTAAGGTTTGAAATATGTTTTTTCTAACCAATGAAAATCAATGTCATACCTTATCTACTTTTTCCCCAACAAGCTTTAGTCAATTCAAGATATTTCATTTTCACCTCTCAATTTAGTTGCACCAATAACAAAATCTAATTTTATTTAGATAATTAAATCTTTTATATAAAATTTGAAAACAGATAATGCTACAGTTATATTATGAATATGATTATGCGAAAATAAAAATATGATTTTACAAATAAAAAACGTACAGTAAAGGTAATAACATTACACTTTAACATATTTTACATAAATAAACATAGACCCTTGTTTAACAAATATTTTAACATGGATTATTTTTATTAATTATATATTATATTATGTTTGAAATGAAATATAAATATTTATATAAATAAATGCATTAAAAATTTGAGAAAGAATAAACTTACTCCACATCTTAAGCCATTAATTCTAAGAAATCTAATGGTTTAAATCTACTTACAAATTCAAACCATTGAATTTCCATATAATTAATGGCTAAAATGTGGAATAAGTTCTTTAAACTTACTCTTGAAGTAAGTAAATTTCCTCCCTAAAAATTATATAACAAAATGTCATATTATGGAATCCAAATCCTCTATACTACTTCTATTTATATACCAACCAAATAGGATTTTGCCTAGTAATAAGTAATATACCTCATTTAATTTCTCATTAATTGTCATACTAATATATTTAGGTATTTGATAAAACATCATTTAAGGCATAGAAAACTTTTGACATGGAGAATCTGGATTTCATATTATGTCCGTTATTTATAATAGGTTTTCATTGAAAATATGGAACATAATTAGGCTTTGTTAATATAATTGGAATGCGAAAAATGAGATTAATTGTTGAGTATTAGTTACATGTTATTTAATATCTTAAATACACTTTTATCACCTTCAAGTGATTTAATCTTTCATCTTAAAATTTCATTTTCCTTCTCCATCTATATAAATAAACTTACATGAGTTATTTGTAAATAAGGCAGAACTTTGTAATGACTAGGCAATATGATATGATAATTTTACATGTAAATAAGAATCACCAACCCGTGAAAGCTCATAGAGCAGTGATCTTGTGATTTTTTTCATGCAAAAGTTGTCTCTTAATCTTTCTTTTGTACAAAACTTATTTTTATCTTATCATTAGTAAAATTGTCAAATAAGGGAAAACTATGGTGCTTATATTCTTTTTAGAAAAAAACAATTTTTTTTTTAACTTTCAACTAATCCCATGCCTTGTGATAA